GAGGTAGTGTGTGTTTGGCTGTTTTGTGTTTTAACTAGACTGCTTAAGAGCCCAAGCCCTTTCAAAATTTGGGCAAATAGAAACTCTGCTAAATGAATAATTTTATGCAAATGAGCTTTATCCACGATTTCGTTTCCGTGATATATTCTTCAGCTTTAAATGCTTTTGTGCAACTTTCCACTCTCCTAAATATATTTTATATAACTGTCCAACATCCCTTTTTGGATATTATTAAAAGTGCACCTTTAAACATTCAAAGTTTCGCATGCTTTTCCAAGGCAGTGAGGGCGCTGTTGCTTCGATGTCATTAATCTCCCGGTCATGATGTACAGGGGGTTTCCATGCTGACTGTTGACGCAAAATATGCCGATTGAAAATATTTGTAAGAAAACTCTGCTCATGTCAGAAGTGAAACAACAGCGAATAAGGGAAGTAAACAAGCCCTTTTTGACAGCAAAATATTAAGCATTCTGGCTTAATTTAGCGAAGAAAAGCTATAACAGTGAGATTTCTATCTCATAAATCAATACGCAAATTGCATTAGCATCCAAAGAAAACCTGGGCCGTGTTCCGATACTCAACTTCGTCCTCGTGTAGGAAACCAATCCCCGATTGTGGGCCTGAAGCGTTTAACTTAAATTGAAGTACTCTAATGTTTTGCTAATTTGCAGTTTACTTGATGTTTTGTGGCACTATCAGACTTACAAGTGCGCTTACATCCTCAAAGTCAGGAAGTAACAAAAAAAGTTGAAGCCTGAGACGGAGCCTAAAATAAGTATTAGAAAACGGCCCAAATGCCATAAAAACGGCTCCGAGTGAATCAGACAAAAGGAATATTGCACAAGTAAAACTGTATGGTAAGAATTGCATGGGTCCTTTAAACGAAAACTTCACATGATGCAGAAAGGCACCTTGTATTCTCAAGTTGCGTGAGGGTTCTGGCTGACATGTGTATATAGTGATTTTCTAGTTTATTTTACGCTTTTTGATGACACTGTCAAACTTGTTCCCAACAGGAAGGTGAAATGAAACAAAACGGCTGGTCTTCAGGCAAGTGTTTGCCTGAGTCCACGTACATTTTTACACATACATTTTTGAGAAGGTTTGCAGAAAAAGCAAATTCTGCTTTTTGGGATGTTAAGATTTTTGAAAATATGAAAAATTGAAATTGTCTGCTTATTTGAAGCTACCTGTCCGTATGAGGCTCTGCTATTTGCTGGGAACATTCTGACTTTCTTGGAAACCAGTGTTGGATCGAGTGCTAAATCGCTGGAGACGTGCAGCCTCACGGAGCAAGGTACGAGTAGCTTAAACGAGATGCGTTTTCACTCGATATCGGTCGCGTTTGGTTGGCCTGTTGCTAAATCATCATTTGACCCATTTACTTTCCATCGCCAAATTAAGCCATGGAGGCACTCAGAAAACAATTTATATAATCAATTTCAAAACAGTTTGTGACATCTAAAGATCTTGTCAGCAATTATCACCATGATCCCAGTTTTTCATGTATTATTTGTTCGCACTATCCCGATATTTGCCGCAAAATTCTTCATTTTGCGCCGCTGCAGCCCCCTTTAGCCCACATAGCTGGGATGTAGGTCTATATTACAAGTACATGTGTAATTTGAAAAATGATCGGATTTCTTTCCTTTGGTCTGGTACTAGAGTTTCAAGCTAGACCAAACCGTATGAATCCTGCATTCCATCTGTGCAATCAGCAATAATTTGTGATGTAAATCCATACTGTTTTTCAGATGGTCCGGCACTCGCCTTTCGACTGTGCGTTGGTAATACCAGTCTTGCCAAATGGCAGGAACCCGTGCTGAATAATTGTACTCCAGATGTCAATGATCAGCTAGATAGCTTGAAAAATGTGAGTAGTTGTGGAATATTGTTTGATTTACCGGTATTTAACTATGTGAACATTATCATAGTTTATTTTCAGCAGGGCGGTATGTCATCACCGGTTACTCAGTCTAGGGAGACTATGCTTGATGCGCCCCTGCATTTTTGCTGACGGACCGGATGCGCGAGTGACAGTCCCTATCGTAATTGGAGCAGCCATAGGCCTATACGAAGTTTTGACTTAAGCTGTTTGCTTAATATGCTATTTTGACAAAATAAGCTCACTTTTCAAAGCACAGCTCCCGCACCCCAAATATCAGGTCTTAAATGAAGCATAAGGGTATATAATTACGCATAATTTTAACAATAACACAGTTATTGCCGAATGAAGGAGACCAGTGAAATTGGTTTCATTTTACTCTCAGAAAACGGTGACAAAAGATAATGTGGAGAAGGTTGCAGAACTTCTGATCTCTCTGACTGAAAACATCTCCTCCATTGATGAAGCCGCACTGTCTTCCACAGCTGATGTCCTGGACAATATTATTAATATTAGAGATTCCTCTCCGGAAGTAAGTTACGCTTTCTGAAGTTTCAAATCTTCGAGCTTTTGCCGACTAACTATGGAACAGTAGATGTTCACGAAAGTTTTGAAATTTGGATAAAGATGTGACATTCTTGTTCGGTAGGTCACATCTGATGTCGTGAACGTGGTGAACAACCTCCTCCAAGCTGATAAAAAAGACAGCGGTGAACCAGCTGATGATTCATCCTCTCGCATAATCCAAGCCCTTGACAGCCAAATCTCGCACGTTCTCGCAAATGGCGCGAACTTCTCCAAAGTTACGAGTAGCCTCGCCGTCAAGGCGCTGAGTGCCTCTCCCAGCTCTGTCGCTGGTGGGGTTGGTCTTGTTTGTATGAAAGGAACGACTGGAGAAGATCCCTTGACGGAGGGTAGAGTCAGTGTTTATTATTCCGAGTCAGCAATTCCCATGGATAAAGTTGAGGCTTCCATCTCTCTTCCGGGGGAAGTACTAATGAACTTCGTTTCAGGTAGATTGTGCAATATTTTCGTGTGTATCCCCTCGTAATAATGTGTAACCAGGGCTGTAATGAGGTGTCCTGAAGACCCTCGGCACCAGTGTCCCATTGGTACCCTTTGGAGCGCTGGCTGATAAGCACTGGGGCCTCGCATTTTATGCCGATTCGACTTGAGCTGTATGCATTAAAGCCAGACCTAACTGCTCCAAAATCCTGTTGGAATCATGTGCATCAGACAGACAAATTTCACGCAAAAATATAGTAAGCAGGAGGTCGTGGGATCGAGTCCCACCCGAGTAAGCTTGTGACTTTTTTTCGCAAGCTCTCGGACAAGCACTGAGCATACAGTGTTTATTAATATATACGTTAGGTAAGGGCAAAACCTGTTATATAAAAATATAAGACATGAATATAACAGGTACGTCCGCAGTTTCGGCCACAGTTTGAAGACCCCCCCCCCCATTTTTAGGCATATATTGCTCAGAGTAATGCTTCATGGATAATCCTGACCCTGAATTTAACATGTCCTACAGCTGCTAAAAGTTAAGAGGTCAAGTCAAAGTAGCCTGCCCTTTTGTTTAACTTATTTGCTTTTGAAAAGCGCTGACCTCCAGCAAAAGATGAAGTTTAAAGATTCAAACTTCGTGTGCCCTGCAAAAACGACGTAAGCGCGCTTATGCCCTTTTGTCGGAAAGCATGATTACAGCAGAAAAACTGTTCCGGTAAAAGGGCATGAGAAACACAGCGTCACTCTCTTTATTTAGTAAAAACCAGATAAAATCTTTTACAAAATCAACACAGACTGTACAAAGAGGAACCTGTGAACAACTTGGGAAATTTTTTGTGAAATCTTTACATTTCATTAAAATAAAACAGTTGCATACATACGTCCTTTTGCCGTGAAAAGTTTTTTTGCAATGATCATGCTTCCCGGCTGAAGGGCGTCAGTGCTTACGCCCTTCTTTCAGGCACACGAAAGAAAAGCCGAGAAAAGTAGTTTCGAACAGAAACTAGGAGTCAATTAATGTACTCAAAAACACTTGACTGTTGGCTGCTTCTAAGAACTGTTGGTATGGCGTATATGGTGTGCGCAAAAAGTCAATATTGGTAATGACGCTAGCCAACTGGTACCTGGCACTTGAGTACATTGCTGGTTCCTTCTTTGCCTGTTTTGGGCCGCTAGGCTTATGCATTGCGTGTTGTTACATCGGTATGTTTCAACATTTCGGCTGTCTGTTACTAAGGTGTGTTCAAATATTATTGTTCACCAACAGAAGGAGGAGCAGTTCCCATCAGTTTTATCCTATATCAGAATACCAAGTTGTTCCGCTCAAAGAAGATTGCTAAAGCTATGGAAGATGCTTCAAGGAATCTTTCCATTGCCAGTTCTGTCATATCAGCTACAGTGATCAACTCCACTATTGACGATCTTCCGTCCAAGACACCTGTTTCCAGCACCTTTGCTCCTCACAATTGGCAAAAACAGGTAGAAGAAAGACTACTGTGTCAAGCATACCATTAATCAACCACAGGGCCAATGACAGTAATTATTGTAATGGGGAGGGGCTTTGTTTGAAAATGTGTCTTTGAAAGAAATTTATTTGAAAAGGAATGGTTTTTTTTACCATACAGGAAAGTTGAGGACCCTTTCCCGAAGAGACCGGAAAATATTTTGAAGTTTCCGGGGAAAAAGAAATTTCCTGTTGAATGGACATACTCCATGACTTCATTTCATCTCGAAACAATTTTTCAAACTTCTTTCTCAGATAAACCAGAAATCTGACAAAATTAAAGAAAGTCTATCATGTGTGTTCTGGGACTTTCGTCTTGAAGATGGAATCGGTGATTGGTCGACAGCGGGCTGCAAACAAGCCCGCTCGGGTGACGGACGGACGGCGTGTCATTGCAACCATGCTACCAGCTTTGCCGTACTTGTGGTAAACTATAAAAAAATAATCACCTTGTTTTTTTTAAATCGTTGTGTTTCACTGACAAACCTTAATACCCCCCAAAATGTGAAGATGCTTGTCAAAAGGGGCGTCTGGAATTTATAGTTTCGAAATTAATTGTGTCCACAAAGTCTTTAAAATCCCAAGAACTAAACACAATTTGTTTCTCCAAAATCCTTGCAATTCATGATTGAGATTGTTTCAGTATGTTAAGATACGAAACAACTGAAAGTGTCTCTGCTTTTCTTTAAGGATATTCACGGTCAATACTCCAGCTTAGCCTTGGATCTAATTAGTAAAATCGGATGCGGTGTTTCCATTGTCTCCCTTGTGGTTACTATCGTCGTGTATCTGGCTGTCAAGTAAGTTTGATGCACAATCGTCAATTTCTGCAATTTTCAATAACACATAATTACTGAGAAAAATCGAATGTCGAGCCAAGGAATGATTTTTCTATTGGTAATACAACAAATACTTGATTAATGAGATGGGAAAGCTCAGTCAGTTGTGATTTAGCAGCAGTGGCGGCTTTAAAATGCTTAGGGAATTTCCACTTCCAAAATCAAAACGGGAGATTAGAAGACATTGAAAGAATTTTTAAATTCAATTTTATAGATTCTCTTCAGTTCTCCGGCTTAAGTATCCCTAAAAGTGCTGGAGGAGCGTTGCTGGTTTTAATGCCAATGTGTATTTCCATATTCATGTCCAACAAATCCTTGACATAGTACAGCAACTGCGTCTGTTAGTCTTGGTATGCTTGTATTAGTAGGGCCTATCCATATTCATGAGCAACAAAGCTTTGTTTTACTAAGCAGAAGTTTCTGTGCTGCAACTGGTTCAGCATAATTTGTTGAAGCTTAGCGCATTTTCTGTAGTGTTTCATTGTTTAGTCAATGCAGGACAGCAAATCAATGAGCAACGTCA